ATGATTGTCATAGTCTTATTAGTAACATAGTTGGTTGTAATGTTCGTTTTATTCATACGAGCGTCAACCATGTTGCTCACACTCTTGCTAAGGTCGGGGGTGCCTGGTTGACTCACTCAGGTTGGAAGGTTGTTTCACCTAATTTCGTTCTTTTTTTTTTTTCTCCCAATTTGCAAAAATACCCAAAATCGTCCTCGACTATAGTGGTTTTTCTCAATTTCGTCCTAAACGACTTTGGTGACCTAATATCGTCCCAGACTTTTGTGTTTCGCTCAATTTCGTCCTCCATTTGTTATTCCGTCAAATTGGTGTTAAATAAAGGGACAATTCAGTAATGTCAATATTGATCTCTCTTTACTTTCAACTTGTGAAGTGCGAAATTTCTCTTTCTTGTACGAATTACACCCAGAATTACTCCCAGACCTGCAAATCAAATTTTATATTCGCAGTTTTAGGAGTAATTCTGTGAGTAATTCGTAAAAAAAAAAAAAAAAAAAAGGATTTCGCAGTTCACATGTCTATGAGTAAAGAGATGCCAATATTAAAATTACTTAATTGTCTATTTATTTAACACCAAATGGACAGAATAACAAATGATGGACTAAATTGAGCAAAAGCTCAAAAGTCTGGGACTAAATTGCGCGAAACACAAAAGTCTGGGACGATATTAGGTCACCAAAGTCGTTTAAAACGAAATTAAGAAAAACCACTATAGTCAATGACGATTTTGGGTATTAACTCAATAAATTTATAGGTATATATAAATTCACTACTATTAGTTTCATTTTTATGTACCTACTGTATTATTTTTACATACACACAATATTATTTTTATGTATCTAGGTCTGCCATGCAAGGTGAATATTAGTCCACGATATAATTTGAATTAATTTGGTCTAATTCACTTTTTCGTGGACTAGTCTAAACGGATTAAGACTCAATTCAATTAGTTTTTAATATTACGTTATAGCGAAAATGATTATTTTAGTCTCTTAATTGTAATATAATGGACAACTCAGTTCCATAATTATATTTGTAGTGCCATTTAATTATTGAATTGTCTATTTGGAGGCCCTTGTACACCAATCGTTATGCTATGGACGCGTGTCCAGCATGCATTGTGGACACGATAACGGTGCTGTTAGTGGCACCGTTATCTTCCACTATTTTTTTTTTAAAAAAAAAAAAATTCAGACCGCTTTGTTATAGGAGTATATGTTTATAATTTTATTACTATATGTTCATAATTGTAAGTTCATAATATCAGAGCTCTGTGTTCATAATTACATAACTGTACATTCATAATTTCGTAACTGTACATTCATAATTCAATAATTGTAAATTCAATAATTGTAAATTCATAATTTTTGAAGCTCTATGTTCATAATTTTATCACTATATGTTCATAATTGTAAGTTCATAATGTCAGAGCTCTGTGTTCATAATTCCATAACTGTACATTCATAATTCCATAACAGTATATTCATAATTCCATAACTGTACATTCATAATTCCATAACTGTACATTCATAATTCCACAAACGAATAACGGCGAGACAAAATCAACTTTTTTTTACTGAAATGCCGCATTTTCTCTTAAAACGATGTTATTTTGGACTCGTGTCCACAATGCATTGTGAACACGAGTCTACAACATAATTTGCGCTTGTACACATGATTGAGCTTCTTTTTTTTTTTTTTTGATAAATTTACCAATTAGACTTGCTACAAATTTCCTCAACACAATTTCCATTTCTTTTATTTATTTTTTTTTTCCAATTTCATGTTTTAACATGTCATTCTCATTCTCCTTTTTATCAAGAATCTTCACTAACGCTCGGATTATCTTCACAACACACATAAACATTTATATCAATCCACCTAAACATCCCACAACACTCTTTCATTAACAAATACAAAATTTGGAGAAATTTGTATTAACCACTTCTCAAAATTTTGAATAATGCAAAATATAAGGTAACAGAAGTACTCACATTAGATAAAATAAACACTTGCTTTTTGTGGAAATGCTTGGAAACATTTACCTAAAATGACATAATTTTAAGACATCCTAATTGATAGTTGCACATCCTTACATCTATACTGAAATTCTTAATACTTTTCAAAAGACATACAATTTGAAACTTGTGACATCTTTTAATCAATTAAACTTCGAACATATACTTGTAACTTTCCTGAAAGATGAATGTTTGAATTTTCAGAATAAAAATTACCTCAATAATGGTAGATAAAGGAATACAATATATGACTTTGTAACATTTATAAGATAGTTATTATATTTTGGAGAAGATAGTTATTATATTATTTCACAAATAATTTAACATGGAGAAAATGCTTTTTATATCTCATAAATTCTTTCATAATATGACTTACAATTGATGGGTAGAGAAAAAAATAAGTGTGTGATACCACTTCATTTTGAGACGTGAAACGTGAAACACTTTATTGGAAGGAGAAAAGTTTGAATGTGAATATACACAACTCTTAATTTTTCCCACCCTTAATGTTAATGACAATCTGAGATCTATGATACGCATCACTATGGAGATTGGAGAGATATGAAATTCTATAAATTATCTCGGCTTACCATCACTTGTAGTAGAATGAAACAAAAAGGATATTTTGGGACTCCTTAAGAATAAAGTTCTCAGCAGAATCAGCAGCTGGAATCACAAATTCTTATCAAGAGCCAGAAAATAAGTTCTTATACAAAGTTTGATACAAGTTGGGGTGGGCACTTCGGTTCGGTTTATCCGAACCGATCCGAATTGAACTAGTAATAGAAAATCGAATGGTTCGGGATTTTGTAACCCGAATGATTTAGTACCAAACCGAACCGAAACCGAATGGTTTGGCAAAAACCGAACCGAACGCTATATAATTTTTTTTAATAAATAATAATAATAATAAATTAATAATGATAATAGTAATAATAACAAATTAATAATAATAATAATAATAATAATAATAATAATAATAAAAGAAGTAAATCCAAGTTCCTTGATGCTTGCTCCGCCGTTCAGTTCTCATTCTTACTGGTATCGAACCTTAAATTTTTTATTTGATTTCTTTATAGCTTGTTTTCTACATTGCACTTTTGTTTTTTGTCGCAATTGTTCTTTACCTCACAATTATATCTAACTTGAGTTATATTTACAATATTCAGTATTTTCCTTAGTTTCATGTTTTTCTATAAATTTAATGTGCTTTACAGTCATTCTAATTTTGATTTCCAGTGCATTATAATTATTTTCTAGTACTGGAATATATTTTGAGTGCACTAGCAATGACAGATTGTGTCCAACAATTAACTATATAGTAATTGACACTTGTTCTTTTAATATCAACTATACAGATAGATGATTATTCATCATATCAATAAAAATATTCCAACTGAATATTTTTATTTGATGTTTCATGTTTGTACTCTTTAAACATTAGATTTGAAGTTTGAACTACGTGATTCATGTTTGTAATGTTTGAACTTTGAACTTTGGATTCTAATTTCTAAGTATGTGATGTTTTGGTAATTAGATTGCTATTAGTATGTGATGTTAGTATTTACTATTTAGTAGTATGTTTAAACTTTGAATTATTATTGTATTATATAACGTTTATATTTTAGATGTGGATTATGTGAATAGGAATTGTTTGGTAGTATGTTTGGAAAATTATGAAATGTTGAAATTTGATGATCGTAATTCTCGTAAAGTCTTAAACCGAACCGAAGTCCGAACCGAAACCAAACCGATTGAAACCGAACTGAAGCCGAACTGAACTATAATGTTAAACTGAATGGTTCAACTTTTCTAAAATCGAAAAACCGAAACCGAAACAAAAAAAAAAAAAAAAAAAAAAAAAACAAACAGAAGACCAAGTGCCTAGCCCTAGATACAAGCACTACCTTCCTATGCTATGAGTGTATTTCAAATACCAAAGGAAAATGTGAGAGAGATTGAATGTGCTATGAATGCTTTGTGGTGGGGAGCAAATATTGCAACCGTAACGATATTCAATGGAAATCTTGGTCACACCTTTGTATTCCCAAAGATTGGGGTGGTATTAGCTTTCGGAAACTGGACCTCTTTAACGCTGCACTGTTATGCAAGCAAGCTTGGAGACTCATTCAATTCCCCTTGTCCCTTGTTGCAAGAGTCTTTCAAGCAAAATACTACCCAGGCTCCTCATTCTTAGATGTTAGAAGTAGCAGCAACCCATCCTTTATTTGGAACAATCTCTTAACCACCAAGGAGATCATCAGAAATCATAACTGTTGGAGGATGGGTAATGGTAATTGCATTAATATTTGGAGAGACATATGACTTCGTGATCCCTCAAATCCACAAATCACCACGCTACCTTTCCCTTTCTGGAAAATGTTGTTGTTTCCCCTCTCCTCAACAACCAATTAGATCAAAGTTCGGACATGGACACAATTCAAAATATATATTTAACCATCGTGACGCCACTCTCATCACAAACATTCCCATGTCCATGTTCAAAAGAGATGATAAACTAATTTGGATGAGGGAAGACTGAGGTCACTTTACAGTTAAACGTTGTTACAAGGCTCTTGTGGGTGAGCAGAATATTGATAACAAGAAAGATTGGGTCTCAATACGAAAAAGTATATGAGAATCAAAATAAATGCAAAAACAAGCACATTATACTCTGTAATTATAATTTTAACATAATGCTAGCAACAGAATTAAGACTTAAACACATATAATTTATTATTACTAAATTTGTATTCAAGTATTAATTTTGTTACTAACATAATTTAAAATTATAATTATAATATTTGTAAATAGTGTGTTTTATTTATTTTACTATTATTTTTAATAATCCAAAAACATATTTAAAATTGAACAAAAATTGAGAGAACAAATATGAATGTATGAATAATTCAAGAGAAAAAATACTATAACAAGGTGGAAAAGTGTAGTTTTTCCTACATTTTATAGAGATATTCCAGGCCATCTCCAAGGCCCTTCTCCTCCAAAGACAAAAATTCAAAAACCCTCTGAAGAGCTTTGGCGACAATTGGCAGTTGATTCTTGAGAGCGCGACTTAGAAGCGCATATGGATTTTGTTTGGTATGGAATGGAATTAATCACGCAAAAAGCAGATGAATCCAGGCAGGATTACACGGATTCCAAACTCAACATTGTACAACCACGCAAAAATGAGCAGGAATCCACACACAAACCGTTCGTTACGTTCTTTATCAACTCCAATTCAGCATTTCTTTATCCGCTTTGTCAACTCCAATTCAGAATTTCTTTATCCGCTTTGTCAACTCCAATTCAGCATTTCTTTATCCGCTTTGTCAACTCCAATTCAGAATTTCTTTATCCGGATTTACATTTGCTGGATTGGGTGTCTGTGGGTCCTCTTTTCGAGTGAAGTACAATTTGGGTTCTTTAGTTCTAGGGTTTTCAGTCTTGATTGAGGGGAGAACTCTGTTTGCTGAGAATGATGGCTTCTCCTGCTGCTGCTGCACCTCTTCCATCACAAAAGGAGCTTGAGGAAATGCTCATTGAGTCTGGAATTGAGCTCTCTACACCTCCTTCATCCACTGGCGAGCTTCTCAGCCTCCTTGAAGTAAAATTCTTTCCCTTTTCTTTTGCATATAAAGGTTCAATTATGCTTGGATTGGTTTTCATTGATGGGATTTCTTCACCAGGCAAATGATTATAAAATTTTAGGGTCTCTTTTCCTGGCTGAAAGGATCAATTCTTATGTTGTTGTTGTTCTGTCTACGTTTTATTTAGAAATGTTTATGCTTTCATCTCTAGTTTATTCATATACGTTTTTAGGAACTGACATGTTGAATTACACACACACATACTCAAAACTATAGTCCTCATCTGGACATTATATGTTTGCTACTGTTGTTTTAACTCTTGTGTTGCATTGCATTTTCTTTTAGAAAGTTGAATCAGAACTGAAGAGCATAGGGCAAGACCCTTCAATGTCGACGAGAAATCTACTTGAGCCAATTAAAAAAGCGTTGATTGAAACGAAACTTCTGAGACATTCTGAAAAAATCATTGATTGTTCTGTTGCATCTTGTATCTGTGAAATTATAAGAATATCTGCACCCGTTCTACCCTATGATAATACAGAAATGGAGGTATTTAATACTTTTTATATGTTCAAAACTAAGGCCAGGTTGCAAACAATTTTAGTATTTATTTATTTATTTATTATTTCTTTCTACTTGAGCAGTCTAACATATATCATATATGTGCATCTATGTTTAAAAAATATCATCTTTTGGTTCTCAGGTCGTTTTCCATCAGATTATAGCATCCCTTGAAAAGTTATATTTCATTGATAGTAACTACTATAGTAAGGCTCTGAGAGTTCTTGAAGCGGTTGCGAAGTACAGGTTGTGTGTGATGCTATTGGATTTTGACTATGTGTTAGCTGTTAACGTTTTCCAACTGTTTCTCAAAATCATCAGGTATTTTCTAGTTGTTCTCATATAGCGTTACACACTATAGTATAATATTCTGCTACATTGTACATTTGTACTCTTTAATGAGTCTATAGAATTGACCCTTCACTTTTTATCAAGCTTCAACCATACCAATGCTGTGTTAAGATACATGGTAGACATCATGTCTCAGCTCATAGAAGAAAGAGATGAAGTCTCACTAGATTTTCAAGTTTCCATTCTTGATAGCCTCAGAAAGGAAACTCTGGTAATAATCACTATGCAAATATTGATGCTATCTCCAAACATTGTTTTCAATTTTTTGATTAACTAGGTATGTTTTTATCTAGGCTACTGCACCTTGTTCATCGATATTGGGAAGTGAAGTCTTGGAAAAGTGTGCTACCAAATTGAAGCCTTGTCTTTTAGAATTAATGACAAATATGAACATGAATTTGGATGATTATTCTAAAGTACTTGGCTCAATATTGCATGAAGTTCCTGAGGGAGAAAACATGGTATCTATGTGTTTGCGTATTTTTCATTAAACTTGTTAACTTTCTACTGTTGTATTTCCTTTGAAGATCAGAAGATGTTTATAGATTAAGATAATTTGGGTGTGTTCAGCGTATGCTCTTGGATAGAATGAGCAGTTGGAATCTGTAGAAGGCTAGAGGCTAGGTAGAAGGGAGTAGACATTAAGAAAGACGTACTATTGCAAGAAGCTGATGTAGGCATGTAGCATTAATGAGAATGAAATGGAGAAACAGAATCCATATAACTGAACTTAACTAGGCTAGGATTTGTTGAGTTGGGTTGAGGTTATGTCCTCAAGCTTCAAAACTTTGTTATCTATTATCTGCTGTCAGCGTAAGGTTTGGTAGTCAAGAGATGCATTAATTTTAGGGAAAATTGCAATTTTGGTCCTTCAGTTATAACAACGGTACAAACTTAGTCCCTGAGTTACATGCGTGACCATCTTTAACCCCTAAGTTATGCACGAAGTGGCGATTTTAGTCCATCAGGGACTTTCTACCACCAATTTGTCACTTACTAAAGTGGCTGACTTGGTCCTTCAAGGACTCAAATTGCCACTCCATGCATCACTTAGGGGTTAAAGATGGTCACGCGTATAACTCAGGGACTATGTCTGTACCACAAGTATAACTGGAGGACCAAAAATGCAATTTTCCCTTAATTTTAAAATCATAGAACCATTTATCCTTAAAGAAGAAGTCTTTATTACTGTCTAGATTTAAGTCATAGGCATCTGATCTGCTTGTTTTATGCTTTCACTTGCCATTCTACATTGTGATATGATGAATATGATATTCTTCCGTGTTTGTGGGAGGGAGGGGGTTTCCTTCTAATGGATAACAATCTAATTTTTCATTTTTTCGTGAATGATCAGGTGGAAAATGCTGGTTCTGTACCACCTGTAAAAGGAACATCTGCTCTTCAACTTCCTCAGGTACCACTACTGGATGCCACTCAAACAATGAATAACAATAACAATAACCTGGAACTCGATGGGTCATTGAAGGCATCTTTTGGGATGAACGAAAGCAAACGCTCTGATGAAGAACCTACTATCAAGAAGGAACAAGAGAAGAAATCTTGGAGCTCATTGGACATTAATGCAACTTCAATTGTGTTAACTTTGCCAGCTGTAACTGGAAAGGAGTCTGTGACTAACCCTATTGTGTTAGCCCCCAGCAACACAAAAAGTCCTTGCAAAAGGGGCCAACCAAAGAAGAATCAGACAGATCTCACCGTGCAAAAGAGATATGAAGGGACTAGGTCTGCCCAGAGAAAACTTAAAGAAAAGGTACTACTGTAATGGTGCTTGCAGATTCTCTAGATTTCTGGTTAGAGTAATCTTTGTGATTCTATCTATTCAGTTTGCTAATCATTATATTTCTGCATTGCCTTAACCCATAACTAATTGGTTTGCATCTCTTTATTGAGTTCTATTAAAACTTAAATTTCCATCAGCCTCTTTCTGTTCTATCTCTAATTAGTACCATATTAGTGGTTTAGGATATCTTACTGCTAAATTCTGTCCTCTAATTAGTACCATATTAGTGGTGTTTGGCTGCACAATGGAAAACTATCTTTATGTATTTGGTTCATTTTCCAGAGAATGAGCAAGAAAACATACAATAGATGTGACTTCATGTATAAACTCAAAAAAAAATATTAATTTTTTAAATAACATTGAACTGGTTTCCTTGCCGGAAACTAGACCAGAGACTGGTTTGATTTCCGGCAAGGAAACCAATCGCCGGAAACCAGATTAGTCAAGGAAACCAATCTGGTTTCCGGTATCTGGTTTTCCAAGTCGGGAACCAAACTGGTTTCCGACTTGGAAACCCAGAATTTGGATTTCCATGTCAGAAACCAATCCAAATTGGTTTCCGACTTGGATATCCAGAACTAGATGATTCCAAGTCGGAAAATAGTTTCCGATGTCGAGAAGCGAAGCGATGAAGAAGCCTGAAGCGGAAAATGACTTCCCCTAAAAAAAAGGGGAAGTCATTTTCCATAAAAATGACTCTATTTTCCATTGACCCAATTTCATTTTCCTTTGACTTTAGTGTTTTCCTACTTACCAAACACTAGAAATCATTTTCCGGGTTTCCAAACACACCCTTAATGTATTCCAAGAAAATAAAAAAATTAGGAACTTAGTATCATATTCTCCTTCTTGCAACCAGTGCACCCCTAGACATATGTTGAACTTGGGGTATCTCAGCATTAAATCCTTTCCACCGTAAGTGTACCAAAAAAGAATGCATAATTGGTAATACTATATTATTGCACTTTCCAATAAGTGTGTTGATTGTGAGGGATTGAAAAGCCTAGTGGGTGGTGACTAAGCGGAAGCAAAATATGTGAGAATACTTGGAATAGAGAGAATATATGATTATGTTAATAATAATAGATTGTCTCTCTATGTTTCTTGAACAGTATAGAGTGTATAGAGATTCTATATTTATAGAAACATTGGGTTAAACCACTCCTACCTTGAATAGGAAATCAAGATTACTCCTAATAGGAATAGGACTAAGGCTTCCTATTATTCAATACTCCCCTCAAGCTGGAATATCTAGAAGTTCCACGCTTGAATTAAAACAAACACTCCACCTAACTCAAAATTACAAATGAATATTAAATGCCGCTAGAGGATAATAGTGTTGAATGTCGTCGGAAGACATGGCACTATACACAACCCTTGGAAATGAAGTTGAAAGCATCAAGGATGGATTTGAACATCAACAAGCTCAAGCTAACAAAGTGACACAAACACTCTTGAACAAATGTAAAAAAGCCTTCATCAAGACTCAAGAGTAGAGGTGAAATGGAGCAGGAGCAATAAATGGGTACATATGGTCCCTAGCAATGAAGATAGCCAAAGCGATAAAGAGAAGCCCCATAGCAATGAAAGAACAAAACATGCGTGGTTCATGGTAATACTCCCCTAGCCACCCTTTCTTGAAACTTGAGAAATAATAAATGGCCTTTGGACATAAAATATTATAGTGCCGATTGCCGAAATTAAACACCCTCAGGGAACAAATAAGGCACACTGAAAATGAAGAAGCAAATACGGTAATACCAAAATTGAACTCCCTTAGGAAAGAAACTTGACAACGGATCCAAAAATCCTTTAAATTTCATAAAAGACCAAAATTTATCGAAAAAAGGGACAATGCAACACCAATGGCGATTCTTAGAACAAGAACCTATGCAAGACAGTTGGAAAAGTTGATTTGACATATCTCACTATGAGAAAGAGATTTGAAGCAACTTGGCCTTCCAAGGGAAATCGTGGGAGGAGTTCATGCAAGAGTGAGGTATCTCCTAGTTTGACTGTACGTATAAAGAAGAAGGAAAAAGAAATAGCCAATGATGCAGACTTGCAGAGAAGTCATCTCTTCAACGAAATCAGCACCAAAATATAAGCACAAGAACTAAACACTTGAGGAAGCAAGCTTTAAACAAAGGAATGGTACCATTGTAATGTTTTATATGAAGAGTCATATTTTTAAAGTTTAGGTTTCTTACTTGTATATATACTCTGTTGTACCAACCATTTGAGTCTATCAAATCCAAGTATCTTTCTTCACATGGTAACAAACTAGGCTCCTTTCACCAACAAAATTCCCCTTTTTTTTCTTCTTACCAAATCAATTTTGTTTTCCTCTTGCACGATAACCGTTCTTGTCCCGATGCATCTCTAGCTGTTGTTTGAAAAACTAACACCACAATCTTACTCAGAAGTCAGGACGACGTCACCGAGAAGGGCTATCGCAAAAAACTCAACTTTGCCTTATCCCGTATTGAATTGATTGCATTTCATTATGATCCTATGATTATTAGGGTGTTGTCAATTTCAGTCCACAACTTTCAAAACTAGCAATTTAGTACCGTAACTATTTAATTTTTATCAATTTTAGTCAGTACGGCCAAATTTCTAGCCAATTATCGCCAATTTTTATCCACATCTCACCTGCCTCTATATTAATTCAAACAATGGTTTACAAATTATCTTTCATTTTAACACTGAATTAAAAGATTTCGGCGACAATTGGCCGACAATTTGACGGGGCTGACTAAAATTGATAAAAAATTGAAAAGTTAGGGTATTAAATTGTTAGTTTTGAAAGTTGTGGACTCAAATTGACAACACCCCAATAGTCATATGACCAAAAGTGAAATTTACTCTTGAACTTTATTATAACTTACAATTTGCAGTGAAAATTTGGGATATAATTAGTACCATGGTAATTACGGTCCCCCATGGCCCCATTAATGTACCCAAAAAAATAAAAAATTAAAAACTTAGTATCATGTTATCCTTCTTGCAACCAATGACTCCTAGACATATGTTGAACTTGAGGTAACTCAACGGTAAGAATTAGGGAGAATGTCTGATGCATTTCATAGGAGATAAGAAGTAAAGCTTTTCATCTAAATCCAACTTCCTTTATGACTATGGAAGAACTTGGCATTTATCAAGTGAACCTTTTTCACTGAAAATATAAGTTTTTTTTTTTTTTTTTTTTTTCCCACAACTCATATTTATGAAATGCAGTTTTCTTAAGATTACATTTCTAAGATGCGACATCTTTTAATTTTCTTAGCAACTACAAATGTTATATAGTACTATTATTTTGCTACTGAAAATTGGGTAATACATAATTAGTCTTCATTAAAATTTGCTTATTTTTGACATTTTGTATAAAGTAAATAAAATGTGTATAATTTATGAACTTCCCAGTATAGCCATTTCATTGATATTTTGCATCTAACTATGACATTTTACCCTATTTGTTTTATATGTCATTACTCTCTTTTGGGCAAAATAACCAAATGTGTACACTTATGGTGTTTATTCATATTCAGGATTCTAAAAAGCTTCATACTATTAAAGATTACGGAAAAGAGTTGGTAGGGGCTAAAGTCAAAGTCTGGTGGCCCCGGGATAGAAGGTAAGTACTTAAGAAGGGCAAATTGAATGACTGTCTTAGTACCCATTGAAATAGAACGCTTCACTTGTTCCATTATTACCTATTGAGATGGAAAGCATCACTTGTTCCATTGATTACAACATTTGACAATTTCCCTCAGTTGTTAACAGCTTGTGCTTTTGAACTTCAAATTCAATTTTATAAATTTGACACCTAAGGTTATAGGTCTGAAAGATGAATCCTTTTGAGATATCGCATTTACATTATTTGAAACCCATGGTAAATATATACAAATTGTTGCATTTAATTTGTAAACATGTAGCTTATGCACTTTTGATTTATTCTTTTAATATGTATTTTTAAAGTTTTGCTTTTTTAAGTCTAAGAAGCGCTGCCAAGGACCTTGTGGTCCAATGGCACCAAGTTGCTCCCTTATATGGGAGGTTGTGGGTTCGAGCCTCAGTGGAGGCGATATTGGCTCTTTGTGTTAGGTTGAAAAAGTAGCTATGAACAGATGCTACATTGTAAAAGAAGTCTAAGAATAGCTATGAACAGATGCTACATTGTAAAAGAAGTCTAAGAAGCGATATTGGCTCTTTGTGTTAGGTTGAAAAAGTAGCTATGAACAGCTACATTGTAAAAGAAGTAGCTATTAAGTTGTCTTGCAAATTATGCAAGCAATTCTTGTAGGATTTTCCAAGATGAAAGGCAAATGCTCTTCCCTAACAATTTGCTTTTCTAGGATAGTGATATTTAGGCTGAGTTTGACGCATCTTCACTACTCATGCTCCATTATGTTGGCAATTATAAACCAACTCCCATTATTCTAATTTCTGCCCAATCCATTTCGAGATATTTCTCCTGTATTTGTTTGTCAATAACGCACTAATCTTTTTACTTAGAGGCCAAAGGTTGAACTACACAAAGCCAAGCCCAGGAGAGCAGGTTTTAAGTAGAGGGCATAGCCTTCTTGTACCTAGATTAACAAGAGCTATGGAAAAGCCCCACAGGTCTATAATTATAGTTTAAAGCCTTAAAGCACATTAAGAATGTGGTGGAATCATGTCTTTGTTTCCTCTATTTCAAGAGAGCAATCAGAGCATGCATTGATTTTTCGTCACATTCATGGAAAGATTTTAAACATCTGTGTCATGATGTATTGGCTTTATCTCGTATCTTCCTTTAATTTTAATGTGCTAAGTTGCTTTCTGTTACTGTACTATTGTAGGTTATATACACTGATGATGATGTAGAAATCTTGAATCTCAGATGTGAGCGCTGGGAATTGCTTGAAGAGGTTCCAGTCAAAGAAGTGAGTTAAATTCCCATGTTGTACATTATCTAGTTAGCAAGCTATGATTTCTTGAAGAGGTTCCAGTCAAAGAAGTGAGTTAAATTCCCACATTGTATATTGTCTAGTTAGCAAGCTATGATTTTATTGGTTAGGTCAACTGCCTCTTTGTAAACATAACATGGATGCAATTTACAGGGGCTTGTAACTGACTGACTTTGCTTTCTGATGGAGTAAAGAGGAAGAGGAAGGGAGATGAGCACAAAATAAAAGGAAAGGACTGAATGCAATACAACAATACTATTTGGCAACTTCAGTTTTGAAAGTGAGACAGAATTTTAGGATGGGATAATGAATATTGAATAGTAAGCATGTCAGATAATTGAATAACTATTGTATCCTTGATGTTATGGTAATTGATAATTGAGTAATTCTAGGTATTCTTTCTAAAAGTTTTCCTCCTAATTTTTCCTCTTGATGTGGCAACATTTAATTGAATTATTTAGTACTTAATTAAATTTGTGTAGAGTGAGTGGTTTGCATCATTGCAGCTGCCCATTAGTATTGTTCGCTCCAAAAGGCCAGAGGATTATGCAAATTTGAAATGCCAACTGAAGTCAACTCACATCATCTTTGGACTTTCCTTCCAAGTGAAAGTCCCCAGATTAAACATGTAGCTTATGCACTTTTGATTTATTCTTTTAATATGTATTTTTAAAGTTTTGCTTTTTTAAGTCTAAGAAGTGATATTAAGTTGTCTTGTAAATTATGCAAGCAATTCTTGTCATATTTTCTATTCACTGTTCTTTTCTCTTTACAGGTTTAATGAGCAAGTGATTTCTTCTTTTGACCCTAACACGAAAAAGCACAAGGTGCATAACCCCAACGTGCAGATATTTCAGTAGTTTATGTGTTGCATAAAATTCCCTCTATTGCCATCTGAATATCCTACTTTCTATCTTCTAAAATAGGATTTTCCAAGATGAAGGGCAAGGGCCATTCCCTAACAATTTGCTTTTCAAGAATACTGATATTTAGGCTGACTTTGACCCATGTTGACTACTCTCATGCTCCATTATGTTGGCAATTATAAACCCAGTATCTAAGGGAGTTTTGGGTTTCAAGCAAACCCAATGTTTTCTTCTTTTCCTTTTCCAACTATTATTCTTTGTCCATTTATCCTTATGTTGTCTTGCCCGTGACGGGAGAACATAACATCTTGTATATGTGAAATTATGAATTTATCTGCACCCGTTCTACCCTAGCTATAATAATACAAGAATGGAAGTATTTAATACTTTATTTGTTCAAAACTCAGTCCAGGTTGCAAACAATTTCAGTATTTATTTATTTATTTATTCTATCTACCTGAGCATTCTAACATATATCATATATGTGCATCTATGTTGAAAAAGTATTGTCTTTTGGTGCTCAGGTCATTTTCCATCATATTATAGCATTGCTTGAAAAGTTATATTACATTGATAGTAACTGCTATAGTAAAGCTCCGAGAGTTATTTAAGCCGTTGCGAAGTGCAGGTTGTGTGTGATGGCGTGATGCTATTGGCTTTTTACTGGGTTAGCTGTTAACGTTTTCCAACTGTTCCTCAAAATCATCAGTTATCTCTCCACAGGAAACCTTTAACTGTAATATATATTGCATAATAATTGTTTGTTCTTATTGTTGTTTCAACGTTGGCCATATTAGCTCTTGGTAAGGGTTATATATGCACATAAGCTTTTACGTAATATGACACATTGTTGTCCAACTATGATTTTAATTTCTTCAGATTTTATACTGATCTTTTAAAACACTTATTATTACTTGTAGTTACCTTTTTTGATGTAATATAGAGCGGTAGCTACACAGTTGTTCGTATTATATACTCCGTAGCATATAATTTTGATATTTTCACCAAGTCAGTTTCCTTCCTTGGATGCTTACACACTAATAGAATATTCTGCTACATTGTACATTCAAATTTCAAAACACTTATTATTACTTGTAGTTAAATTTTCTAATGTAATCTAAAGTGGTTGCTACACAATTTTTTCTAGTTGTTCATGAGGAAGTATGCTAAACATATAGGTTTCATATACTTGTTTATATAGCATATAAATTTGGTGATCTTTTGATATTTTTGCCAAGTGTACATTTTTACTCTTTAATGAGTCAATAGAATTAACCATTTATTTTTTATCAAGCCCCAAACATACAAATGTTGTATTAAGATACATGGTAGACATCATGTCTCAGCTCATTGAAGAAAGAGATGCTATACTATAGTAGTTACTATAAATGTAATATAACTTTTCAAGAGATGCTATAATCTTATAGAAAACGACCTGAGAACCAAAAGATGATATTTTTTAAACATAGATGCACATATATGATATATGTTAGACTGCTCAAGTAGAAAGAAATAATAAATAAATAAATACTAAAATTGTTTGCAACCTGGTCTAGTTTTGAACATATAAAAAGTATTAAATACCTCCATTTATGTATTATCATAGGGTAGAACAGGTGCAGATAAATTCATAATTTCACATATACAAGATGTTATGTTCTCCCGTCACGAGCAAGACTACATAAGGATAATAATAATAATAATATTGCATAATAAGTGTTTGTTTTATTGTTGTTTCAATGCTGGCCATATTAACTCCTGGTAAGGGTTATATATGCACATAAGCTTTTATGTAATATGACACATTATTGTCCAATTATGATTTTCTTCACATTTTATACTAATCATTCAAATTTCAAAACACTTATTATTACTTGTAGTTAAATTTTCTAATGTAATCTAAAGTGGTTGCCACACAATTTTTTCTAGTTGTTCATGAGGCAAGTATGCTAAACATATAGGTTTCATATACTTGTTTATATAGCATATAAATTTGGTGATCTTTTGATATTTTTGCCAAGTGTACATTTTTACTCTTTAATGAGTCAATAGAATTAACCATTTATTTTTTATCAAGCCGCAAACATACAAATGTTGTATTAAGATACATGGTAGACATAATGTCTCAGCTTATAAAAGAAAGAGATGAAGTCTCACTAGATTTTCAGGTGAGGCTATCAAGAATGGACACTTAAAAATCTAGTGTGTCCAACTATGATTTTCTTCAGATTTTATACTAATTTTTCGAAACACTTATTATTATTTGTAGTAAACTTTTCTGATGTAATCTAGAGTGGTAGCTACACAGTTGTTCATATTATATACTCCGTAGCATATAATTTTGCTATTTTCACCGTGTCAGTTTCCTTCCTTGGATGCTTACACACTAATATAAGATTCTGCTACATGGTACATTTGTGCTCTTTAATGAGTCTAGAATTGACCCTTCACTTTTGATTAAGCCTCAAGCATACCAATGCGATATTAAGATACATGGTAGATATCATGTCTTAGCTCACAGAAGAAACAGATGAGGTCTCACTAGATTTTCAAGTGTCCATTCTTGATACCCTCACCTGAAAATCTAGTGAGACTTCATCTCTTTCTTTTATGAGCTGAGACATGATGTTTACCATGTATCTTAATACAACATTTGTATGTTTGGGACTTGATCAAAAGGAAAGGGTTAATTCTATTGACTCATTAAAGAGTAAAAATGTACACTTGGTAAAAATATCAAAAGATCACCAAAATTATATGCTATATAAACAAGTATATGAAACATATATGTTTAGCATACTTGCCTCATTAACAACTAGAAAAAATTGTGTAGCAACCAATCTAGATTACATCAGAAAATTTAATTACAAGTAATAAATGTTTTGAATGATCAGTATAAAATGTGAAGAAAACCGTAGTTGGACAACAATGTGCCATATTACATAAAAGCTTATATGCATATATAACCCTTACCAAGAGCTAATATGGCCAACATTGAAACAAACACTATATATATATATATATATATATATATATATATATATATATATATATATATATATATATATTGGATCCAATGAGACCTATAATTTGATGAGACGGTGAGACGTCATCTGGTTCGTTTATTTTTAGTTTTTAACGGTTTTGATTTATTGTTTTTAGATCTCATGTGTTGAAGATTTGTAAAGGAGCTAGGGGCATTGTGGTCTTTTGTTTTTGTATTTATTTCGGATCCTTAATTTTGGGGCGCGTGTGTATGATGTTGCAGCATTATTTTTGGGATCAAATCAATATTAATTTTTAGAATCCTCACCAGCGACTCTTCACATCGCCTTTGTCGCTTCACTTCCTCTTCTGTCACTTCTCTCCATCCTGCGACTCAAGGTTTCACTCCGATTCCGACGCAAGCTCTGAGTCATCTGTGTTTGGCGAGCGAGATCTTTTCAGGTTTTGTTTTACCGTTCGATTTTCTGAGTGTCCTTTTTTTCTTGGGTTCTATATTGGTTTGTTCTTGTGCTATGGGGGGAGGGTGGTTGTGTCGGAGGTTTTGGGGTGTTTATTTAGGTTTCCGGCGGGTTTTGGGGTTTGGGGTAGTGGCGTATTTTTTTTTGGGTGGTGTTGAGGGGGTTTTGTCGGCTTTGATAGTTTTTAGTGTTTTTTGTTTAGTTTTTGGGGGTTTTCCGGCGAAGGTGGGGTTTCTGGTGATGGGGTTTTGTTTTTGTTTTTTGTTTTTTGGTTTATTTATTTATTTATTTATTTTTGGGTCATTTATCCTAGCTTTGTGAGACTGACTCATCCTATAGCCTGTAGGATTTGAATAATTTTTTGACTTGAAAGGTGAAAGTAAACCTCTTAGGGGTCGTTTGGTTCACGGAATGTCAGATTACCTTAGGGAATGTTAGATTGCTGGGAATATTAGATTACTGGGAATGTTAGATTCCTGTGTTTGGTTAAAATTGATGTATGTAATATAATCATGTTTGGTTTAGGGTTATCTTTTATTCACACACACATATTTTCATATATTTTAATAAATTTTAAAATTAAAATAAATAAATAAATAAAATAACGGTATCATATATAATTACATGATTTTAAAATATTAACTAAAATATTGAACTTGAGAAACAAAATTATTTTATATGCTAACCTAACATAATAAAAATAACAATATATATAATTACAAAAATAATTTTTTTATATATGTGTGTGTGTGTGTGTGTGTAATAAACTAACATAACCAAGGTTATCTTATATAACCTTAGAAATTGAAGGGAATCACATTCCCTTCAAAATCCTACGTGGAGGGAATGTGACATTCCTGGGGAATGTTAGATTCCCTGAGATAACGTGAAC